GAGTTTGAAGTTTGGTACTGGTATTCCTCCAGCACTCATTTTCCTGCTAAGGATTGTTTTTGCTGTGCAGGGTCATATTATTCCATATGAATTTTGGGATTGCTTCTATTTCACTGAAGTATGTTGTTGGGATTTTGCATTGATTTGTAGATAGCCTTTAGTAGTACTGCCATTGTCTCAATGTTAATCCTCCCAATCCAGGAGCATGGGAAATTTTTTCACGTCCTAAAATTTGCTTTAATTTCTTTTTTCGGGTTTTTAAATTTTCATCATAGAGGTCTTTGACCTCTTTGGTTAATTCCTAGATTGGTCTTTTGAGGCTATTACAAAAGGAGTTGCATTTCTGACTTCAGCCTCACTCTTATTGTTGGCATACAGAAAAGGTACTGATTTTGTGGGTTAGTTTTTTTTTTTTTGGGGGGGGGAGGGATCTGGTCGTGGGGCCTGAACTCTGGGCCTGGGCACTTCCCTCAGCTCTTCAGCTCAAAGCTAGTGTGCTACCACTTGAGCCATAGCACCACTTCCGGCTTTTTTTTTCTACTTATGTGGTGCTGAGGAATCGAACCCAGGACTTCATGCATGCAAGGCAAGCACTCTACCACTGAGCCATCTTCCCAGCCCTGTGGGTTAGTTTTATACCCTGCTACTTTGCCAAAATTTTGAATCCGTTCAAGTAACTTGGGAGAGGAGTCTATGGACAATACAGGATGATGGTATCTGAAAAGAGGAAGAGGTTTACTTCTTCTTTCCTATTTGGATCCCCTTTATGTTTGTCTCTTGCCTTTTTTTTTCTTTTTTCTTTCTTCTTCTTCTTCTTCTTTTTTTTTTTTTTTTTTGTTGGTAGTGGGTCCTGAAGTCTGGGCCTGGGTGCTGTCTCTCAGCTCTTCAGTGCAAGGCTAGTGCTTTACCACTTGAGCCACAGCACCACTTCACTTCCAGTTTTTTCTGCATATTTGGTGCTGAGGAATGGAACCCAGGGCCTCACGCATGCAAGGTGAGCACTCTACCACTGAGCCACATTCCCAGCCCTGTCTCTTGCCTTATTGATCTGGCTAGGAATTCCAAATGATCCCACAGACCTATGGCCACCTAACCTTTCATAAGGGAGCCAAAATCATCAGATGGAAAAAAAGACTGCCTCTTCAATAAATGGTGCTGGAAGAATTGGCTATACATGTGTAAAAAACTGAAGTCAGATCCTTATATATCACCTTGAAACAGAATCAAATCCAAATAGATCAAAGACCTCGAGGTAAGAGCAGATACCCTGAAAATATTACAGGAAGGGTTAGAGGCTATGTTAGGGTTCCTTGACACAGATCCATTAACATAACAAATCAAAAAAAGGTTGGATAAAGGGTATCAGATTAAACTACAGAACTTCTGCATGGCAAAGGGACATGGCTAGCAAAATAAACAGCCCACAGATTGGGAGAAGATATTCACTATACAACAGACTAGGACCATATATCAAAAATATTGCTTACAACCCCCTAATAACAAATCCTGGAAGAAACAACCACCCAATTAATAAGTGGGCTAAAGAATTACATAGAGACTTCTCTGGAGGGGAAATAAGAATAGCCAATAGACACATGAAGAAATTTTCAAAATTTTGAGCCATAAAAGAAGTGCAAATTAAAACTACATAGAGATTCTACCTTACCCCAGATAGAATGGCCATTATCAAGAAAATAAATAACAGATGCTGGAGGGGAAGTAGCCAAAAGGGAACACTACTACAGTGCTGGTAGAAATGTAAGTTTGTTCAACCATTCTGGAAAGCAGTATGGAGATTCCTCAAAAGACTACACATAGAGCTCCCCTATGATCCAGCAATACCACTCCTGGGTATTTACCCAAATGACCACAAATAAGGCCACACTAAAGCTACCAGAACAACTATGTTCACTGCAGCATTATTTAACATAGCTATCTTTTATCTAAGGTCAAGAATATTTTACTTTTTATTGTTTAATTTTATCATAGTACTAGTAAGAAAAATCTCAAATGCTCTTTTCCATATTAAATTTTTAACTCATAAGTATTTCATTTCTTTTTTTCTGTTTCTAGTGTGGTATTTCTTGCTTATGATACTCATTAATATGTTTTCTCACATTTACTATATGCTTGTATACTCCTAATTAAAGCCCATTATAAATCTGATGAAGAAAATAATTTAGTTAGTTGCATTTTTAATTGCCTTTGTTATTATTTACTATGAAAATTTCATCCATAGATCACAGAAAAAAGGTCAAATAATTTGTAAAAACATGTGGATTGTATAGTAAAGAATCTATTTCAAAGGAAGAAAATCTACATCATAGTCCAAAACATTGGCTCATTCTTCTTCTCTTTATTTAAAGTTTATTTTCTTAAGCTTGTATTATTCTCATTAGTCATCTTTCGAGTGAGGTACATTCAGGTTCAGGCTGGAAACAGATCAAATCAGCTGAGTTCCAGGCTGGAAAGAGAATGAGCATGTGCCTTTTAAGAAATG